AATAATGACAAAATTATGACTTGTTTTTTTCCTTTTTTTTATTTTTAGTAAAACAAAACACACTAAAAAGGGAAGAAAGTTTTGTAAGAATTATTCTTTAGTGTTTTTTTTTTAGATTATTTTTTTTCTGTTTTTTTTGCTTTTTTTTTCCTGTTTTCCAATATTTTTTTTTTTTGAGGGGGATAGGACTATAGCAAAACAGCACTTTGCAATTATGACAATATTAGACATTCAACTGTGATGCACTGCAATGTGTACAATGGGTCAGGATGACAACCGGGGATGTAAAACAATAATCGGTATACAATAATACATTTTTTTTTTCTAAATATTGTTTTTTAATTTTTTTAATATTGTATACTGAATATATATGAGAGAGATCTGTCTATCTATTGTGGCCGTGTGTGGCAATGCCATGGTGTCTTTGGCCATATACCGTATTTTTTCCGTCTATAAGACGCCCCCCATGTATAAGACGCCCCCCATGTATAAGACGCCCCCCATGTATAAGACGCCCCCTAACTTTTCTCACCCAAAATTCAGAAATCAATTTTTTAAATGATATAATGCATCACACTTACCTCTGATCCAATCGCTTTATGCTCCGGCATTACCGCTCTGGGCACTGGCTACACGCTCTCCCCAGCAACAGCTGACGTCGGGTACAAAAGATTTATGATCGGATTACAGAGACACGATAACAGTTTTCCTCCAATCATAAATCATTTGTACCCGACGTCAGCTGTTGCTGGGGAGATCTGATTACAGAGACAAGATAACAGTTTTCCTCCAATCATAAATCTTTTGTACCCGACGTCAGCTGTTGCTGGGGAGAGCGGATTACAGAGACACGATAACAGTTTTCCTCCAATCATAAATCATTTGTACCTGTTGTCAGCTGTTGCTGGGGAGAGCGGATTACAGAGACACGATCACAGTTTTCCTCCAATCATAAATCTTTTGTACCTGATGTCAGCTGTTGCTGGGGAGACTGATTACAGAGACGAGATAACAGTTTTCCTCCAATCATAAATCTTTTGTACCCGACGTCAGCTGTTGCTGGGGAGAGCGGATTACAGAGACACGATATCAGTTTTCCTCCTCTCTCCCCAGCAACAGCTGACGTCGGGTATGAAAGATTTATGATTGGAGGAAAACTGTTATCTCGTCTCTGCAATGCGAAGTTTCACTCGTGAGGCTAGTCTGCAGTGGTATCGGCACTTTCGCATCCGCGGTCAGGGCAGACATCAGAAATTTTGGGGCCCCTTACACGGCTTTAGGCCGCCCCCTCCCCCCCACGCCGCTGGACGCAGGGCTTAGTGTCCCGCTGGGCGCAGGGCTTAGTGACGCGCTGGACACAGGACCCACCTGAGAGTGACCCTGCAGAGCCCACCATAGATGCTGCACAGCCCATCTGAGACTGTCTATGGTGGGCTCTGAAGGGGTCTCAGGTGGGCTGGTCAGGGCTGCATCCCCCTCCCTCCTTTCCTTCCTAGCTCCTCTCACCTGCACACATGGCCTCGTCTGCCGCCGGACCGGCCTGAAGTTATTTTTAGGTAAACATTTTTATGAAAAAGTAGCGTCTTATACACGGAAAAATGCAGTAGTCACCCAGGACTTTCAGCCAGGGGTGGGGGGCGGGGACTGAGCAGTTCCAGAAAACGCAAACTTTTACTGGGAAAGAGCTTGCTTTGCAGTTCTTCCCGGGTTTTCCGGACTTGGCTTGGGGTTCCTGGAACTGGGAGATTTCAAAGAGCATTGGGAGGGATGGAATCTCCATTCCTGGGTCCGGGCTTTAGTGGTGACCAGCACCGAGTGCACCTGTGCACAGCCCTTATGAAGAGAATGCTGGCTAAAGGTGCCCGTACACCTTGCGATTATCGTACGATAATCCCGCGACCGTACGATAATCGGCAGGTGTATGGAAGGCGTGCGACCGTTTTCTACTGTACGGTCGCACGTCTTTTGTTGCGCCAGCATGCTAGAAAACCAGCCGAGAATCGTACGATTGTCGGGGGGTTAGTGGCGTGCTCGTTCGACAACTGCGGAACGGTCCGGTGTGCGCACACTGCCCGTTAAGCATTGCGGTCATCGGAAGCCCGCCCCTCAGCGGTGCGGGCTTTCAATGATCGCAAGTACGATCTGCCCGTCCAAGATGGGCAGATCGTACGAGCGGTGCTGCGAACGCAAAGCCAGGAGGCTGGATGTGCACATGTTGCCAAGAGATGCTAAAGAACCCCGGCGACGGTAATTGCTTTGTTTTGTGTAACTCTTGAGCTTAGGGTGATGGGAGGACGCTAGTTTGTGTCCTCCCATGACCCTTAGGAGAACTATGGGGGAAAGCCCTGACCCCATAGTTCCCCTTTAATGCTCTACTATTGGAAGCTAAATCTCACACTATCTATATATGGGGTGTGTATATATCTATATCTATATCTAGATCGATCTAGATATAGATATATTTATATTTTTTATTATTCTGCAATATAAAAGGTGCAATAAAACAAAGTTCTGTTTCTATGTCCCGGTGTCATGTCTTTTATGTGACATAGTACAAATGGGATGAGAAACAGGAGTTGCTGGGGGCGGCTGTATCCATACATTTTATGGGGTGAATGTCCGGGGGGACATAGAAGGGAAACAGAGAGATGGGAGTCTGCAAGAAAAGTAAAAAATGTAACAAAATAATTTTAAAAAAATCTATATATATTACAGTGTGTGTGTGTATGTGTGTCTCTATGTGTGTGTGTCTCTATGTATGTATGTATGCATGTGTGTGTGTGTATGTGTGTCTCTATGTGTGTCTCTATGTGTGTCTCTGTGTGTCTCTATGTGTGTCTCTATGTGTGTCTCTATGTATGCATGTGTGTATGTATGTATGCATGTGTGTATGTATGTGTGTGTGTGTGTGTCTCTATGTATGTGTGTCTCTATGTGTGTATGTATGTATGTGTGTGTGTGTCTCTATGTATGTATGTATGTATGTATGTGTGTCTCTATGTATGTATGTATGTATGCGTGTGTGTGTGTGTGTGTGTATGTATGTCTCTATGTGTGTGTGTGTGTGTGTGTGTGTGTGTATGTATGCGTGTGTGTGTGTATGTCTCCTATGTATGTGTGTGTGTATGCATGTGTGTGTGTATGTATGTATGTATGTATGTATGTGTGTATGTCTATGTATGTATGTATGTGTGTGTATGTGTATATGTGTGTGTGTGTGTGTGTGTGTGTATGCATGTGTGTATGTATGTATGTGTGTGTGTGTGTATGTGTATATGTGTGTGTGTGTGTATGTATGTATGTATGTATGTATGTATGTATGTATGTATGTATGTATGTATGTATGTATGTATGTATGTATGTATGTATGTATGTATGTATGTATGTATGTATGTATGTATGTATGTATGTATGTATGTATGTATGTATGTGTGTGTGTGTATATATATATAATTAATTTTATTTTCTTTTTTTTCATGTATTATTTGTTTAATAATAGTATTTGTTGTCTATAATTATTTATATATAAATCCTCATCAAAGATTCATTCTGACTTCTATATGAAGATTTCATGATTTCTATTTCTGGGTGTCTTTGTTCTGTACTGCCCTTGTGTTGTATTTTGGGGGGGACTCGATGGCGCCCCCGTACAATGATGTGTCTGTTTTGGTGTGCATGAGACAGTTTTTAATGTGCCAACGTCTTGTTGCTTTTCCTCACTGCTCGGCTTTTGCGTCCCGCGCCACCTCTTCTTCCTCCTCCTCCTTCGCCCGCAGCTGTCCCCGGACCTCAACAGACTGAAGGAGAGGTACAGCCGCACTAAGAGGGACCTCCTGGCTCTGAGGGTCAGGAGAAGAGACGTCCGAGAGCTCAAACAGAGATATGACTGTAAGGTACAGAGCGCCACCGGCATCACCGCCCCCCTCCCTCCTCCTCCTCCATCCGCCATCACAGTGTGCGTCATCTCCATGCATGCCTTCCATCGCTCATCTCCACCATCAATGTGTGTGAGGTCACCGCGGAGCTGACC